GGGACACCCCGCTATGTACTGTCAGGGCGAGGTGCGTACAGTACACGCCCTGTGGTGGATGCATGAGGGGACATTGTATAGGTGTGGGATACAGTATCGTTGTTCGGCCGGAGACAGCACTCTGCTTCCATATGCGACAACACTCTCGAGGCCATTGACAACTTGAGATAGAACAGCTCCAAGTCCAGTGTTACTAGCGTCTGTATTAAGGACGAACAACAAGGAAAATTCAGGGTAGCGGAGGGGAAGGGGGGTTCACCAAGCCATCCCGGAGCGTAACAAATGCGGCCTCCTCTTCCTTCCCCCAATGATATTTCTGACCTTTTGCCATCAAAGCGTGGAGAGGTTTTGCGATGGTAGCGAACCCGGCGACAAAACGGCGGTCACAGGATGCAAATCCTATGAAACTCCACACCGCCCCCACCGACGTGGGGGTTGGCCAAGTACGAAAACATGCGGTTTTGTCCGGGTCTGTCACAATACCTGATTTACGGACTGTGGCCAAGATACCGAACAGATTTTTGGAGGTGACTCTTATGTGGTTTAAATTTGAGGTTGGCCGCACGCATTTTAAGAAAGACAGCACATAAGCATTCGAGGTGTTCTTTAAACGTACGGCTGAAAACAATAACATCGTTAAAATATATCGGGCACGAGTCCCACTGGAGACCAGCTCGAACCAGTTCCATCAATTGCGGAGTGAAGACCCATTGGAAGCCAATTAAATTCGAATAAGCCTTGTGGTGTACGAAAGGCTGTATTAGGCTTAGAGGCTTCATCTAGTGGCAACTGCCAAAATTCGGATAGGAGGTCAAGAGTAGAAAAGTAATGTGCTCCTGCTGGAGCATCCAGGGAATCGTCCATCCGAGAGAGAGGGTACGCGTCAGCAACAGATATCTTAAGTTTACGGAAGTCAACACAGAAGCGCAAGCTACCATCCTGCTTTTTTAACAGGAACAATCGGGGCTCCCCACGGGCTGGTGGATGGCGAAATGACATCTGCGGCTAACATTTCATCAACCGTCAGCGGTACGTGTTTTTTCCGTAGGGCTCAGCCGGTAGGGATTCTGCCGTATGGGAGCGGCGTTGCCCGTATCGATGTGGTGACTCAGAGGCGCAGTGCCACCATTGTCAAATTTTCCCTTGCTAAATACATCAGAGAATTCACGCAAGAGTGCGCTCAACTCCCCCCTCTGGAACTCTGACAATTCCACATTTTCTGAACAAAGCGTATCCATCCACCTCTCATCAGAATCCTTTTGCTGCCGCGTATTTGACACGGCCCCCACATTGCCAACGATACTCCCTTCATGAAGCGCTGGCGACGTATGAGCTAGCACGGTGCCCTCTTGAATGACCGACGTGTCTAACCCTGCGTTAAGGACCGGAATATAGGGTTCCTGATCGTTGGATACCAGCGTTTGGGCCCCTACTAACGTCAACCCACGAATGGCTTTATTTGAGGGACCCAAGAGGATTCCTCCCGCAGTCGCTTCCTGGTATAGCGGCTTCCGCAATCATAAAGGAACCAACATTTGCACGCCAGGGGGAATCTTTACGGTCTTACACGAAAGTGCTTGCACGGTAGCGTTGGCTGTGCACAACCGAGTGGGAGAATGCAAAAATCGATGGCCGGATGGTAACTCAAGGCACCCTTTATCAATCAAAATTTTCAGGGGCATCTTCCCCAGAAAGTCAGGCCCGAGCAAGCAAGGAATAGCAAGGGACATCGATACAAGAACCGGTCCCGTCTATTTGATATCCGCAATGCACACCCCCGCTGTTATTCTCCCAATGATGCCTACCGAGCCGCCGTTTGCGGCAAAGCATGGATTTGCGACGGGACAGAGGGTACAACATCTAGGGGGCAAGATGTTAAAAATCAACTCGGAAATGATAGTCGCCGACACACCAGTATCGACAAGCATTCTTATTTCAACCCCCTCTAACAATCTGATAACAGCGAATGAACCTGCGGTTGCGGCACCTACTCTATGGGCCAACTACGACTACTGACCCGGTCGGAGCGGCCAGGCGGCCCAATCAAAGTCCGAACCCTCTCACACCAACGCACAACGGGAATGAAAACCGACGGAACGAGATGAGTGAGGTGTGGCTGGCTCCGCCCTTGGCCATGACCACCTTCCAGAATCCTCGAGCAGGATCTTGACCCCGACACGTGACCACCCGTTGCCCCTGTGTAGACTTAACCGGTCACGTGTCCTCTGGGGTCAACCAGAGTGCCACGGCCTATAGTAACCCCATTTACATGGCCGGCACTGTCACAGCCTATCCTGTAGGGGCCGGCACTGTACGCCGAGCATGGTGCCATCCAACGTTCTCGATCAGCGCTCACCGAGCCCCTCTAGGGCCGGTACTGTACCCACATCCAAGTGGTGTCCGCGATGTCAATACATCGCACGCCGTTCCTCTCTAGGGCCAGCACTACACAGTGACATCCCGCGATGTCACTAGACTACTATCACTAGATACTACTGTAGAGTCAGATACTACTAGATACTGTTGTATATATTGGGTCTTGAAAAATTAATACAAATAAAAAAATGAAAATCGCTAAATGTGTAATTATCCGAAATTATGCGCATTTATGTCATTATGTAAATTATTTTATGATAATTAGGAAGGTGTGATTGTATTAAGTTATGCAAGTGTATGTAATTATGCTAATGTATGCAATTGTGATAATTAGGCTCTGCCTCATCTAGGGTTGTATTGTCAATCAGGATAATACAATGATTCTCGCTTAAACTTTTACTGATTATGTTTTAGTGTGTTTATGCAGGTTTCAAAATTCAGATCTCTCGGCAGGATACAGTTCTTATATTTAAGATTATTATGCATGAACTTAGGAAGGCATCACTCGGACTCTTCTATGTTAAGCAACTTTAATTTCTTAACAAAAACATAACACTCTAATATGCAAACTCTTATGCTAGGTATGTCAACACAGTACTCCTGGAGATGTCCTCCTCATTGATCCGTGCATTTAACCCTCAATGGTTACGTTTGTTAACTGGGTAACAGAACAAATGGTTAATTCCTCAGAATAAAGCGAGCATACACGGCGATGGGAAAAAGTCCTTAAAAATGTATGTGACAATATTCATACGAAGAGTAATAAAGAAACATGTCCTGGAAAGCAAGAGTAGTTATCAATTAATTCATTGGTAAGATTACGCAATTAACGAAAATGAATGACTAATATACTTCTAAACAATTGTATTCATGTAACTCGACGGGCAGCAATTCTTTTCACGATCGGCTGATATTTAGCGCACCACCTTGGAATGGCAACCCTTCTTGAAACGCAAAGATAACTTTTTGCAACAATCTTATTAGGCCCGATATGCATGTTGTGTGTGTGCGTCTTCTTTGCCACTTGTTGACTTGGCGACTTACGCGGTACGGCGTTCCTTGTGCTGAAAATACCTCGGGTTCCCAGCAGGGCCGCTGGGACGGTGTGTGTGTGTATTGAACACACGGCGCTCTTGACTGCGCCAACACTCTGCAGCTCTCTCCACTGCTGGTTGAGTTGGCGCAATGCTCGCCGTCGCCGGTGCACGATGATTCCGTCGTCAGATAGCACTAGCAGCTCGTCCGGTGGTCGCCGTTCCTCACTCTTGTCTTGGTTCCCAGCTGGTGCTGGTCGGTGTGTGCGGGTCGAACCCATGGCGCTCTCGCCGGCGCTCTCCTCTTCCTCACGGGCGGCTGGTCAGGCTCTTTCCCCTGCTCCGTTCTCTCTCCTTGCTCACTCTGTGCCCTCGCCCTTGGCGTGCAGTGACCAGCTTCACACGGGCACCCGCTGGTGCCTCTCCCGCCCTTACTTCAGGGCTGCGCTGGCTCAGGCTCTTTCCACTGCTCTGTTTTTTCTCCTTTGGCGGGCAGCTGCCAGCTTCGCGCTGGCATTCAGTGTTGCCTCTCCCACCCTTCCTTCAGGGCTTCGCCTTGTCGTTGCTCAACTTTCGTGTTTTTCACCCTTCTTCCAAGAGGGCTCTTGCTGTGAGCCGCTCGTCGCTGGCTGGATCACACACTCTCAAAACTTGTAAATTGTATTAGCACGCCTCTTACACAACTCTGATAGCTTAGTACAATACAACTTATCGCAATCCTCGATTCTGAAAGCGACTCAAAACATCAAGATAAATGTAGAATAAAACTTTCAGTGATACTCTGTCGGTTTATACCGAACTCAGCTCTTAACAACACATCGTCCCTTCTCTTTGCGAGACACAACATCCCGCACAAATGTGCAGCTGGGGGGGGAGGAAATAGGTAACAAAGTTTTTATTTGCCATGTGGATAGCTCCAATACTATACACAATGTAAAAGGTATAAGAATTTACTTTTGTATTTTGGGGGGGGGGGGGGGGGGGGGGGAGAGAAATGACCATGAAGTGTGTGGCGAGAATCGATATCTGGTGAGCGTTTGTGGTATCGATTAAACGGGAATAGGCAGATGCTAAAGAAATCTAAAACCTTTCGATACCTTTGCGCGATTTAAAGAATCGAATCTTGGCACGCGCGCGTAAGTTTTTTTTCCACCGCGTGTTGTCTTTTACTTGAATTTTTATTAATGAGGTAATGATCACATTTTTTTTTTCATTTGTATAAGTTATTTTTTAAGTTGTGAGAAGTTTTTCAATATATTTTCCCCCGGGCAATGCCGGGTGCTTCCCGCTAGTACTGTTTAAATATTTAACACTGAAATCATACATAGCTACTTTTTTGTCACTCACATGGTGCCGTTTGCCGGACTGGTTACAGCCATTGGAGTGGTTTTGCCGGTCTCACCGGATCGGCCCGGGACCGCAGGATAATGTTTGGAAGCCGGATAATCGTGCTGGGGATAATCATGCTGGAGATAATCGATGATCAGCTGTAGTTGGTATCAGGGGAGTGGGGTTTTCACTAGCACCCTGTAATGGCTTTAACTTGCTTTGCATCATAAAACAACAGACTTTGCCGTTTGTGGTTTCCAGGTGAGCACGATGAAGTGCTTGCTGGAGCTGAAGCGCACTTTGCAGCTCTTCTATCGGAACTACCGCAAGGACTGGAGGGTCGTGCATGCCACTGTGGGGCAGCTTTGTGTTGCCCAATTCAGCGCAGACCAGCAATGGTACCGTGCCCAGATCATCGGTATGTGCGGAACCGGTAGTCACTAATGCCACGGATTGGCTTGGTACGTGGGGTTAATATTAAGCATGTTTGGGCATAAGCTATACAACTTATAAGGCTGAGCTATATAGCTCTTTTTCAGAAGCAACCTGGCTATCATAAATTATATCTCATCGTGTGGAAATGTATAGCAGCCAAATACTCTTAAATGCGTGATGTTGATTCTAAATGTGGAGGGGACAACCGGAGGATGCGGAGAAAAATCCACAGAACCACGGGGAGATCATGCCAACTCCAAATATACAGCTGGCGTCAGTGTCGGGATCGAACCCACGACTTCCTGTATACAAGGCGAGGAAGTTAACATCTTGCCACCTTGTATCCTAATATCTTTTATCTGAACTTTGATTTGGCTGTGTTCCGTAAGCTACCATATAGTATTTTAAATGCTTTTGTCAATCCGTTAATGTATCAGAGCCTTGTTGCGCCATGTTAGGCCAAGGGGTTTGTTCGTCCATACTTCACTATTCTAGGGAATGGTGCAGTGGGACCGGACTGGATACATCACTCGCCACTTACAGACGTGGCCAAGGCTCCGGTCGCAGGTCTGCTGGGTTTACTACCCGGAGTTCCGTGCGTTAACCTCTCCTCCCCAATATGCTTCTCATGCAAATATGCTGGCAAGCGTGCGATAACTTGATGTATTAGCATGTTTTCAATTATATTTTGAAGACAATAACTCAACTGCAAAATTAAACGGGTCTCTTAAATTCTTGTAAGAAAAACTGGCTTAGCGATTTTGTCGGGAGAGCGCTGCGTTCGCACGACAATGCTAAGCACTCCAAGTGCCAATGTGAGCGGCTGTTTGGCTCATCGGTGCGCTGGGGTTGATAAATTGTTTCCGTGTGTTCGTGAAAATTAAACAGCCATTCTTCTTCTCCCCACTTTGAGAATTTAAATGTCGCTACCGTCACAGGTACACTGATGGATGTTGGGCGGCGAAGTGCTATCACTCACTCGTGCCTCACAGCTAGGAGGGGACCTGGGTTCTGTTCCTGACTAGGGTGCCTCTGGATGTGAAATTTGTATGTTTTCCCCCTTGTTATGGATGGGGCTTTCCTCAGATTCCCTCGTTTTTTTCCATAGCTGAAAAAAACATGCACACATTGATAAGTTGGGATTATTAATACCGCAAGATCTTGGCTAGTACCGATCTGGAAAATTATCTTGAGACTCGCTCAGGCGTTCCTGGGTGAACGAGCTGTGGTAGTAATCCATATGTTATAATGGATGTGTTTTTGTGAAAATCCATTTTGCGACAGAGACTGGAGGCTGAACACAGTTTGTACTCGGCACGTCGGGGTTCCGAGTTCAGTAACTGTAGCAGATTACAGGACACGCCCTCAACTATTGCTTTAAAATAACATTAAAGAAAATCCTCTTTACGTTCGAGAGAATACGGTAATTTTGAACGTGCGTAAAGCTTCACTCTTAACTAAATGATCTAAGTACATTTTCTGGAGATGGTTTTAACACCAGGGCCTGAACTGGTCCCGAACCCACACTTTAAAAGCGAGCCCTGACCAGCATGGTAGTCTCTTGGTCATACAATCCCAGTGATTGACAAAGAATTGGGGAGGCTTTCATCCAGCAGTGGAAATATAACTCTTAAAATTTTTATTTATCTAATTATTTAACACAAAAAGTAGTCTAACATAGTAATTTTTTTCTTATTCTTTACTTAATGAGATCTCACATTGTGCGTTGTCCTGACAGAGCAATGGTTCTTAACCTTTACTGCAGCCTGCACCCCTTTGGTTCTTAATCGTAAAATAATATATAATGTTAATGAACGCATGGGGTTTGAAGAAACATAGTAGTTATACTTATGTGACCATGCTTAATTTGTGTTTTCGATGATTTACCTTCTAAAAGAATCTGGCCATGTCTCGCATCCTCAGAAAGGGCATCTCGCACCCCCAGTTTAAAAACCACTGACGTAGCTAGACATGGCTGGCTCGTGACTGCAAAGTTGTTTGCGATCGCCTCTGTGGTGCTGCTGTGCGTAACCCCTCCCCCCGTAGGTTTACCAGGCAAGGGAGATGTGGAGGTGAGATACGTTGACTATGGGAACACGGAGCGCACCTCGGTGTCCTGCATACGCAAACTGGACAAGTCGTTTCTACAATTGCCAGAGCTGGTAATTAAAAAAACTTGCATTTACCCAAGGTATAAACCCACTACACATGGCCCCATGGTACAGAGGACTGTACCAAAAATCTGATGATAGCTTAATGTAATTACTGGCGAAACATCACGGTAGTCAAATTATAAATGTTGATTTACTCTCCAACACACCGGTGTGCTGAACTAGTAACTAATTGTCACGCTTTGTGTACGTCATAAACCTTACTAATAGGCTGTGTCGGGTGGTGGCGGGTTAATGTCTTATAAATGATTTTGGTCGCGAAAGCCTACTCGTTAAACTGACCTCACGTTTTATTTGGAGAAATATCACATAAGGCGGTATTCCGAGAGTTTGTTTAGGTTTTCAACAATCGATGCTCGTGAGGCAAGAATTAACATTTAAAGGGTCAGGATCTCTGCATGGCTCTCCTGCAGTGTCTAGAGCAGCATTGAGGAATGCGCTCACCCTTGTATTGTGTAACTTTCCTGAAACACACCGCACATTGTCTAGGATGACCAAGTGGCTAAAGAAATGAGGGCCCCCAGTAGGACACGGCTCTTTTAAGATTGTGATCCTAAAGGTCAAGTGTGCCGCGGTGGTTAGAAGATGTTAATTACCTCGCCTGGTATGCAAGAGGTTGTGAGTTCAATCCCGACCCTGATGACGCTTGTTGTATATATTTGGAGTTTGCATGTCTCTCCGTGTTTGCGTGGATTTTTCTCCGAGTTCCTCCGGTTTTTCCCTCCACATTTAGAATCAACGACACAGCGTTTAGAGTATTTGAGCTGCTTTCCATTTCCATGTGATAAGTCAGCCGCTTTGAGCTATCATTTGTGATAGCTAGGTCTCTTCTGAATAAAGAGCTGTATAGCACAGTGAGCCTTAAATGGTAAAATTAGAAATACTTTAAATACATATATATTTTTTTCATTTAGAGGTGTTTTAAATAGGTGAGAAGAGAAAGGCCTTTTTGCCAATACCCAACTACCCTGCATTGCTTCTGCCAGCTACCTCCACCCCCGTCGTTGTTGCATTGTCTGTTGTGACAATCGGCTGCGTGTGGGAATGTGTGGCGATGCCCCACGTGGCGCTGTGCTATCCAGGCGGTGCCGTGCTCTCTGGCGGACATCCATGCAGACGGAGAGTGCTGGACGGTGGCGGCCGTGGAACGCTTCCACCAGATAGTGGACAACAAGCACCTGTGGTCTTTGGTTACCAGTGTGTAATCCATAGCAACGTCTTGCTTGGCTCTACTTGAACATGACATGCAGTACACTCACCACTTGAACCTGACATGCAGTATACTCACCACTTGAACCTGACATGCAGTACACTCACCACTTGAACCTGACATGCACTCGAG